TCCTTCTCGAGTCTTTTCCACCAACTTCGTAGATTGGGATACTCGTAAAATGACATGTAAAGCTCTGGTAGTGTCCTATCATCTTTATATTTTGTAGTCTAACTTCTTTAGTCTATTTATCTATACATTATATAAAAGCCAAATGGGAAAACTTGAACCCACATTTCAAATTACCTACATCCAGAGCGAAAGTAGGAAAAGTAGATTTATCTTCACAATCATTTATTATTTTCTAATTTATAGAAAAAATACACCATTAATGGGATTTGAACCGTGGTCTTTTTGAACAAAAATAAGAAACATAATCAGTTACACTAAACATATTTGTTTAGTATTTTTAAGTTAAAAACATACATGAAGATTAAAACTGAAAATCATAGGACTTTTCTACCACGGTTAGCTAACCAACTAACTCTACCATAAATTTTTGTTTTGTATTTGATACTTCTAATTTCATATTTTGTTTATTCGGATTCAAGTTTAACAATTAATTTAATTTCTATTTATTTTATAAAAGGAGGCTAATTTTAAATCACAACTCAAATGTCATTGGTTCAAATATTGCATATCGAATTGCACTCTTGAATGTGCAGAAGCAATGTAGAATTCTTAACATAGACTTAATTTTTATAACTACAATAAAACAACGATATTTTTTAATACAAAATATTTTAGTGAATATGGGGCACATGTGTCTTTAAGAGAGGGATAAATATAGAAAGGTTGAGTGATGTTGGTTTGCCAAACGCGGATGAAAAATGCATTGCTAATGTAAACGGCCCCAAATAGTGCCCTGTCCAACTAAACGCTCAATCATCGTCGTCTCTCCAAACTTTCTATGAGACTCAACAACCGGCTAACCTCCTCCACCTCTATTGTTACGCCAAAGCAATTTTCAGAGGGGTAAATATGGAAAGATTGAGTGTTGTTGGTTTCTCAAATGCGAATGGAAAATGCGGTACTAATGTAAACGAACCCAAATAGTGGCCGACCCACCAAATGCTCAACTAGCGCGCTTACTTTTGCTACACCTAATATAGTAGTGAAATGGGAAAGGTGTGCCCCCCATTACAAAATCCATACACCCATAGAGAAAGTAGCAAGGGTACTTTGGTCTTCTCATGCATTTATTATTTTCTTATTTACATGGAAAAAATTCATTACTGATGGGATTTAAAATGTGGTCTCTTTGAAAAAAGACAAGAAACATAGCCAGTTAAACTAAACAAATTTGTTTAATCTTTTTAAAGTAAAAACATACAAGAAGTTTAAATCTTAAAAATCATAGGAATTTTTCATCGCGGTTAGCTAACCAACTAACTCTCTCGTAAATATTCTGTGTTATTTGATACTTCTATTTTCATACTTTGATTATTTAATTCGAGTTTAATAATTAATTCTATTTTTTATCTTATAAAAGGAGAATAATTTTAAAATCGCAACCTTATTGTCATTAGGGCAAATAGTGCATATCGAATTGCAATATTGAATGTGTAGAAGCGATGCCAAGGACTTAATTTTATAACTACCATAACACAACAATATTTTTTAACACATAAATTTTGAGTGAATTTGTGGAACCTGTGTCTTTAAGATGTGTAAATATGAAAAGATTGAGTGATATTGGTTTGTCGAATGCGGATGAAAAAGTGCAACTAATGTAAATCTAGATAGTGTCACGGCCCACTAAACGCTCAACCATCGCACTCTCCAAACCTTCCCACCGGACTCGACAACCGTCTAACCTCCTCCACCTATATTGTTACGCCAGAGCAATTTTGGAGGGATAAATATGGAAAGGTTTAGTATTCTTGCTTGGAGAGATGACTGGTGGGTTATTTAGTTTGCAATTTTGGAGGGATAAATATGGAAAGGTTTAGTATTCTTGCTTGGAGAGATGACTGGTGGGTTATTTAGTTTATTTGACAGATATGTGCTCTTAACCATCAGTTCATTTGGTTGATCTTCTAGATTGACTTTTGAGTTGATTAAAGATATATAGGTATACTTTTTGTTGCTTTTGTTATGGAACTCCTTTTGAGTATCATCATTTTCCTGATTTGAAATATTTTTGTGTTTAGATTACAGTAAACAAAGACTATTTCTGATTAGTGTTAACATAGAGAATAGCTTCAATCATACCACTTTTACACAGATTTTATATGGAAGAGCTGAGTTCGTTGCAATTGAACTATTCAAACTATAATATTGATCTTCAACATATAAAACATGGTTTCTTTTGAGTGAAATGACCTCATGATTGCTTATAAGTATTTAGAATATGATCTTTCATGATAGTGGTCACTTGCTTCCATATTTAAAAGTAGAGTTCTAATTACTACAACATAAAAGGCACGAGTTATAGTCATAATTGGAGCAGATACAAGCCACAAGGTGGTTTGATATTCTTCTCTCTACAAGGAATAAATACATGGTGAGCATATGTTGTCATGGGAAGGACTAATCGAACTCTTTGTGTTTAATTTTTATTATAGCCTGTTGAAATATACACACGTTTAGACCTGACCAATTGGACATCTCCACCCGGAATTTATTGACAGGATTTTGCTCATCAAATTGCATGCCAAGTAAGCTCCCTCTTTAATCCTTCTATTTTTCTTAATCTGCACATGCACACCCTCGTAGGAAACATGTACAGAATGTAACTTGGGTGCTTCATTAGTGTTGTTTGCAAAAGTTCTATTATATGAGTTGGTTATTCTGGAATTGTGAATCGTGATTGTATCTCCTCTAAGAAATTGTCAAGTTAAGCTATGAAAGAGACTAACCTGAGCTTCTTCTTTAATTTAGATGATAAGAGAGCAATGACCCACGTCAAATTGATTTGGGGTTGATGAGGCCTGAGAAATGTTTTAGGCTTCTCCAGAGCAACACAAGATCCTAATAGTATCTCGACTAAAGCAAATTTTGTTGTCATGCCTGATGTTGATACAAGCTGTTTACCTAGAGGAGAGCCCCAACAAGTTCGCTCTTGGAGTTGCGATGCAAAAATGGGTAAGGCAGAAATAGTGTATACAAAAGACCATTTGTTCACGAAGCCACCGAGGAGAAGAGAGGAATCACCATTTGTTCTCTAAATTTTACAAGGCTATTATACTGATAATTTCTTACATTTCATGTAAATACGTATTGTGAATGAAGTGAGATTACCTCAAACCATAAATTGCAGCAAGGAATGGTCATTTTGATTAATGTGTCCTGATGCAAAATGTCATGTAGCCGCCACGAAGGAGTAAGAGAGAACCAATCACTGTGTTTGTTGTCGAGAAGGATAAGAATCATGATAATGGAGAGATTACACGACGATTGACTTATACAGATTGAAGAGATAGAAAGTACAGAGTTGTAAGTCATTTGTGTGTTTAGTGTCGCAAAGTGAGGAGTGATTTGGTAGGATTTCACATTGGTAGGTGTATTGACAAAAGTTGTTATCTGTTGGTGTTTCCAGACATATTTTGCTTGTGTGTTACTTTTGTTTGTATATGAGATTTCTACAGCAGATTGCATTCCATCGACTTGATTTGGACATTGCTGGTTTTGATTTTCTCAGTGCGGGATTCATCGCCTTTGGTGTCAACGTGGTGTTTGGTCTAAGGGCAATCAAGATTGAGGTTTTTTTTTATGAAATCTCTTGGTGGCTTCCATTTTCACCATCTGGAATTGGAGCCATGTAAGCGTTTCTTTGGTTTTTTCATGTTCACTCTAGGGGAATCAGGGTGCTTGGCAATAGTCGCTAGATTTAGGGCTAATGATTTGGTTTGGATTGTCCATTATAGTGTTTATATTTTACTGTTTCTTTTGTAATGCAATGAGATAATGACTTTCCATCATATTATTATTGTATTGTTTACCTACCATCGTAGCATACATGATCATTGATAATATAAGTTAGAATCATAAATTCATTATACCAATTTCGAAGACTACATCCGGCTAAAGGGTCGGGTAATAAGCTAGATTTGTTTTAAGGAGAGTTCAAATTCTTCATGTAATCTCTTTTGAAATTTTTCTCGAAACCAATATCAGGCCGCAAGAGCTGCAGAAACCATTTCTCATTGCTTCTTTGATTGTAGGATCGCTCGAGGGGTATGGGCACTGGCTGGAAAAGACCACATCCGATCAGCCATGCCTACTGTTGACAATGACCTGGCCTGGCACAATTTGTTTTTTTCTATGCAGCTATCCAAACTCGACATGGGAGAAGTGGTGTTTCTTGTTTGGAGGGTCTGGAATGGGAGGTGCTGGACCACGTACGACAACATTCAATATTTGCCTGGGCCTTTGTTCCGTCAATTTACAAACCAGGTTGATGAATAGAGAGAAGCTACTGCAGCTCCGACCTCTCAACCCTTGTCTGCGAGAGCTCCTCGTCGCCCTCCTCCACCTCCTACTTGCCCACCAGGCGGTCTCCTTATTCGGTTTGATGGGGCAACAAAGAAGGGTGTAGGCGGCAACATTGGATTTGTCGGTTTCACTAGGGACCGATCGGTTGTCTGTGCATACGATAAGTACTACGATGGGCTCTCGGACGCGTTTCTGCTTGAACTATTAGCATTAAGGGATGCAATGATATGGAGCTTACACTGTGGTCATTCTTCTGTTTGTTTTTGTGCGGATTCACAATTGGTCTTACACCAAGTGATGAAGGATGATGTTCAACCATGATCGAGGAGGTGTTATACTCGAAGAAGTGCGCGTACTGAAGTCCTCTTTTGCATTTGTTTCATTTGTTTTTTTAACAAACTATCTATTACAAACTATCTATGACAAAAAAAAAATATCAGGCCGCAAAATCTCTCCATAAGTAACCTCTCTCATGTCTCATTCCAATTCCATACAACCCCTTCATTTTGTTTAGATCTTTAGTTTGGTATTCATTTTGTTATAACCTCCATAGTCCAGTGACTATTTTTGACATTTCGATAGAACATACCAGGTCCTTCTAGAGTGCAGCGACTACCAATTCCTTGCCAAGTTGCTAGCAACTCCCTTCAAAAGGAAAAAAATAACACAGAACTCCATTAACCCATCTTATCCATAAATCTCTCCGCCCGCTCTATAAACCCTAATCCCCTTCCTCCGGCCTCGCCTTCCTTTCACTGCTTCCGGGTAACCTTCTAGCTCCTTCCCTCTCTGCTCTGGGTTTCCAGTAAGTGCTGCTTGGTTTATGTTCTTTGCTGAAATGGGGGATTTTCTCATCTAAAGTTGCAATCTTTTTGTTCGTTTTTTCCTTCAAATACCCGCTTCCCATTTATCCATTTTCTATACCGGTTCACATTGTTTAGTTTTACCTATAGTTTCTCAATGTTATCTGCTGCTGCTGCAGATAAGATGGCTTCAACCTTCACCACCATGTCCTCTGTTGGATCCTTGGCCGCTCCTGCGATGGATAAGAGACTAGCTGCGTCTCCATCGAACAAGCTGTCTTCACTTGCTTCAGTTTCTGGAAGCTCATTCGGGAGAAGAAGGCAGAACGTTGTTTTGAGGAATTCACGCTTGCCAATGACTTGTAAGGCGGCCAAGGAGTTGCATTTCAACAAAGATGGCTCAGCGATTAAGAAGCTGCAGACTGGTGTGAACAAGCTTGCCGACCTTGTTGGAGTAACACTGGGGCCTAAGGGCCGCAATGTCGTTCTTGAAAGCAAGTATGGATCCCCGAAAATCGTCAATGATGGTGTAACTGTTGCTAAGGAGGTTAGCTATTTACTTCTCAAATCGATTGTCTTTGTTGTTCTCAAATGGCCTTTCTAAGGTATATTAGCTTGAGAATTGACTCTTTAACTTAAGTTTTCAGGTTGAATTGGAGGATCCGGTTGAGAACATTGGTGCCAAGTTGGTACGACAGGCTGCTGCCAAAACTAATGACTTGGCTGGTGATGGCACAACGACATCGGTTGTCCTTGCACAAGGCCTTATCGCTGAAGGCGTTAAGGTAGCTGTATGGGCTTATCGGGTGCCGGATTTTCTCTTTCAATCTAGCTTCTGGACTTATGTTGGTGCTCTTTCCTTTTCCAGGTTGTAGCAGCTGGTGCAAACCCTGTTCTAATTACTCGTGGCATTGAGAAGACAACCAGGGCTCTTGTCAAAGAACTTAAGTCAATTTCGAAAGAGGTAATGCGGATGGTGTACACAATAGTTTGATGACTAATTTGTCAGTGTTGTTCAACTAATCACAAGAAATGACGATTTCAGGTTGAAGACAGTGAACTCGCTGATGTTGCTGCAGTTAGTGCTGGAAACAATTATGAAATAGGGAATATGATTGCTGAAGCAATGAGCAAAGTTGGTCGAAAGGGTGTTGTGACTTTGGAAGAGGGTAAAAGTGCAGAGAACAACCTTTACGTTGTGGAGGGAATGCAGTTCGACCGTGGTTACATCTCACCTTACTTCGTTACCGATAGTGAGAAAATGACGGTTGAATTTGATAACTGCAAGGTATGAAGTTTACGAATGCTTGAGCAGAGTATGAAAATCTGTATATGGTTGAATATTATAATGTTAAAATTTGAGTTCTTTTGGGCTGCTGCAGCTGCTTCTTGTTGATAAAAAGATAAGCAACGCAAGGGATCTTGTTAGCGTCCTGGAAGATGCAATTAGAAGTGGATTCCCCATCGTGATAGTTGCTGAAGATATTGAACAGGAAGCTCTTGCTACGCTTGTTGTGAACAAGCTTAGAGGGGCACTGAAGATTGCTGCTCTGAAAGCTCCTGGGTTTGGAGAGAGGAAGAGTCAGTATCTTGATGACATTGCTATTCTTACAGGAGGTCAGTTTCAAGTCCTCAGTGTTAGTTTCTGTGTGATTCTTCTTGTTAAAGCTGTCATTTCGCCAATGATTCTGAGGAAGTGTCTATTCCATTTTTCAGGAACTGTTATCAGAGAGGAGGTGGGTCTATCATTGGACAAAGTTGGCAGGGAGGTGCTAGGAACTGCTTCGAAAATCGTCCTAACTAAGGATACTACGACAATTGTTGGCGATGGGAGTACCCAGGAAGCAGTAAACAAGAGAGTTGCACAAATTAGAAACCTCATTGAGGTTTGTTCTTGGTCCTACCAGCTTCTCTAAATGCTGTTTTGGAGATGTGTCAGAGGATCTGTTCTCTAATTACTTGAGAGATTAATTGGTTGCAGGCTGCAGACCAAGATTACGAGAGGGAGAAACTCAATGAGAGAATTGCAAAGCTGTCTGGTGGTGTTGCTGTGATCCAGGTAAACAGTCAATTATATTATTTTACTTTGGGTGTGTAAGCTGAATCATTGCAACTCGTTAAATTTTAGTTCTGCTTGGAAGCTGCTCCTTTTTGCTGTAATAATTAGAAAGTGCTTGTACTGGTTAGGTTGGGGCACAAACTGAGACGGAGCTGAAAGAGAAAAAATTGAGAGTTGAAGATGCTTTGAATGCAACTAAGGTATCCTGTCTTTAACACCGATAGTGCTTCCACTCTCCACAGTCTATCAACTAACTAGTTTAACAGTTAAATTTACTATAATGTGTTGCTGTGGAAACTATATTTCAGGCAGCAGTGGAGGAAGGTATCGTAGTTGGTGGTGGTTGCACTTTGCTCAGACTAGCATCAAAAGTAGATGCTATTAAGGACAGTCTCGAAAATGACGAAGAAAAGGTAAAACACATGGTTTGGTTAGTGCTGATCATCTTGTACATGTAAGTTTGCAATATGGCTGAATCGTGGGTGTTTCCTTTGTCCTGTAGGTTGGTGCTGATATTGTCAAGAGAGCTCTGAGTTATCCGTTGAAACTAATTGCCAAGAATGCAGGAGTGAACGGCAGTGTAGTGAGTGAGAAGGTATGTAGAACTATGTCGTCCCTTTTTTTCTTTTTCTTTTTTTGCTGTGAGTTCTGAGACACCAGGAAAATTGAGCAAAATGCTGATGTTTGTGTATGCATGTGTGCAATAAAGGTACTATCGAGTGATAATCCTAAGTACGGGTACAACGCTGCAACCGGGAAGTATGAGGATCTAATGGCGGCTGGAATCATTGATCCAACCAAGGTGGTGAGGTGCTGCCTGGAGCATGCCTCCTCCGTGGCAAAGACATTTTTGATGTCTGACTGTGTAGTGGTTGAGATCAAGGAACCCGAGCCAGTGGTTGCCGGGAACCCCATGGACAATTCAGGTTAGAGGCTGCACGATTTTCCCTGAACTTTCTACCCATTCATTGATTTGTTTTGGAAGCAAATTGCTTGCTTAAGTCGTACTTAAATCTCGGTATGGTTTTTGCTTGTTGCAGGATATGGATATTAATGAGGATATAGAGGAAAAAGGAAGCAACATGTAGAAGAATAAAGAGGCAATATATTTCAGGGGAGCCATTGCAAGCAGAGAGAGTGAAGGAATTTGGCGCTTCAACGCTTATGATATTTGATTGCGGTGAGTTTAGGGAGAGGGTAGAGCTTTTTGATTGTGAATGGATGCAAGTTATGTTGTAGGCTCTTCTGTATGAACCAAATTTCAGTCATTGCAGTAAATTTCCATGCATCCTTACATACACAACAACCATTGCCATTATTAGTTGGAATGAACTGATTTTTGTAGAACCAAATTTCAGTCAAGCAGCAGGTTCCTGAGCCAGCTTTAGCCCATGGCTACTACATATAGGTGAAATGATGGAATTGGATATTGTTTCTAGTTTATGGGTTCTCTTAAGAATATTAAGGAAAGAACAAAACAAATCTGAATAGGAAGGTGTCGAACTGAATCAATGTACGTCACATTGGACTCTAGTAATCATTCAAATTTGCATTTCGCTCGATACTATTACGACCTAATTTGATTCTGGACCACATTGAATTATGCCTACAGCCAACATATGCAGCTCCTCAGCCTTTTCCTTCTTTTTCTTGTCTCGGTTCATTTTTCATTTGTGACTTTGTAACAAGAGAATCTAAATCCTTTTGGCAACTTCATAATAAAAAAGGCAAAAGGAAAAAGCAAAGAGAAAAAAAAAATGTTCAATTAGAGCTCTACAACCAAATATCCTCAGTCGGACCTAGATTATCTTCTTTCCCTTTATATTTGATCCGGTCTATATTACCATCCAACTTGATTCGAGAGCAGATTGAGCCAGGCCCATCATAGCTACAAAATTACAGACCTCATAGACATTTAACCTCTCAATTCATTTTCCACTCATGCATTTGTAACCAAAGAATCTAAACCTCCTTAGGTATTTCAACTCTATAATCAAAGCAGCAAAAGTACAGGGGGAAAAAAAAAAAGAGGCTTAACTAAACTTGTGGTTTAAAGACACATTTGGTCACTGAGATTACAAAATCGGGACATGTTTAGTCACTAGAAAAAGTTAATATCAAATTTGGTCACTACAATTACTAAAACCAGACACATTTAGTCACTCGCCGTTAGTCTCCGTCCAACTCCGTTAATGAAGTCCGTTAAGTGCTGATATGGCAAACAGAATTGCCTAATCACAAGCCAAACCATTCCACAGCAATTTATCATCAACCCCTCGGAACTCTCCGAATGCATCTCCAACACCTATGTCCATCTGCTGGTTTTGCTGTGCAGAGCAGAAAGCTGTTTTTTTGCCCTTGACAATTTCAATCTGAGATTGGACTTCCATGATCTGATTGTGGAGCTGGTAGATCATCCCAGCACACCCGTAAACCGACGCGTATGCTCGCCTCATAGGACATGGAGTCTGCTGCTTTCCCTCTCATTTCCTCTGCTGCTTTCATTACTGACTAATGAACAAGAAGTAGAAGCAAAAGGCTAGTCAGCGACATGAATGAGTAAATAGAATAAGTTGCACTGTTAGTTGACATTTATTTGGATGGCTGATATTGTGATCAGTATGCAGTAACTAATTTGACGTTCTGCTGTATTCTTACTGGTGGTATAGCTAATCTCAATCAAACCCAGAGGAGTGAAAGAGAGAAATGAGTCATTTTTCTATCTAGATTATGAGAATCTTAAAAAGAGGGGTGGAGCCAGGATTTGACGATTGAGGGGTCGGACTTATATATTGTATTATCACTTTTCTGCTAGGCTAGAGGCGGATATCATGCATCAATATTGCACACAACATTTATTTATACAAATCTTTTAGTTTATACGTAATAATAATAAAAAAACATACAATGTAACTGCAAAATCGTGCAAACAAGCAAAACAACAAAGTGTCTAAACTCGGTGAAACATAGTGTAACCAGCACAGTTTCAACAAAACATCTCTTCACATTTCAGACAATTGACATTGCGCTGCATACCAACAGCCGAGGAGTATTACACAGCCAACCAGCCAACCAAACAGCCCGTCTGGCCCAAGTCCTCCCGGTCCCGTTGCGCTCTAACCTTGTCAAGCAGGAAATGAACAACGGTCGCTGAGTATAACGTGCATTCAGTGTGTCTGCCTCAGGTCAAAGAATCCTAACTTCTCTAGGAAAAGAAGCTCAACTTCAGAATCTTTTATAGACCACCAAAAGCTGCTTCAAACTTGGGAAAGCAATTGGACTCAAGTTTCTAGTTCCAACCAATGTTTAACAAATCCTATCGTACGTACCGGCCAGACCGGAAATATTGAATACCGAACCCCAAACGATAGATGGTTTTAGCAGTACAAAATGATTGACCCACAATTAGTGTAAAATACCCAACCACTTACTTTTTCGGAGTATAACTTCATTTACTGTTTCATAATCATGGGTTTACAACCCAGTATTTTCCCCCGCTGCTCTTCCCACCTACCATTCACAACTACTACTAAGGTCCTCTCTTTCAAAAACACCAATCCGCCAAAACAAACACATAACCAAGAGGTGGATGGATGTGTCTCCAAAAACTGATGGACCCCTTGGAGTGTTTCAAGCCATCTATGCTAAACAGTATTCTTTCCCTACCTTTGGTGTATCCTGTCTCGTCATTACTAACTGCCTCTTTCTCCTGTTACAACTGTGTGATTTTGCTGTACATACTGCTCCACCAGAACCTTATCAAAACGCTTCACATTATAGCTGCCAGACCCACGGGCTCTCCATCGTCGATTCTTGCCTCTGTGGCAGCAGTTACTGAGCTACGAGGCCTTGCTGGAAGCCGGAAGACACGGGTCAATGATCATATCACACCAGTCACAAATTATCAGGCAAAAACCTATATGGTCTGACACTTTACCTGTAACGTTTGTGATGATATTTACAGTTTTCTGGGCAGCAAGAGCCTTCAACTTGTTCCCAGTAGCTACCATGAGTAAACTCCTCATGAGCTGCTTCTGTTCCTTTGGACTCAATGTCTTGGTCAAAGCTTCCTCAAAAGCAGCCAAATCGAGAGGTGAAATGCATGGAAGAGAGAGTAGAACCTAGGTACAGATGAGGGGGAAAACATCAAATTTCTGATCCAACTGCCACACTAGATGCATTATCACTAGATCCTGAATATCTAAAATAAATTCCAGGATAAGCACCTGTCTAGGAGCAGGATCCCTGTCGCAAAGATATATGAAAATATCGCGACAAAGGCCAACCAAATCTGCACTGATTATAGCATTCGACTCGAGCATCAAACCTTTGATGGCTGCCGAGAAAAGATCCTTGCAGACAAACTGCTGTAGCTCGATGTTTCTTGTCGAGATTGATAAAACAACCACAGCAGCACAAAAAGAAGAAACTTTTGTCATGGACTCACCAACCGTCCATGAGAAAGCCTCTATACATATCTGCAACACTGGAATCGCCAATCTATTGTTCTTCAACATGAAACTGCCAAAGATAAAATAAAATAAAATCACTCGATGTATGAGCAAAAAAGTGAGAACAAATATATAAGTAGTATGGGTGTGCATAGGACCGGATCGGAAAGAAAGGACAAATTAGGACCAGAGACGGATCGTAAGTGCATTCAATCCGGTCCGGTCTTGATTCAGATCATGCACAACCCTACTACCTACTCTACTAAACATGAGAAGTTAAGGATTGTTTCTTGCTACACACGCGACCATAGAGTTGGAGAGAAAAGCATCCAAGTCCTTTAGAGAAGAAGTATCCACCAAACGGTTAATATGCCCCGATTGATCTAAAGACGGGAGTCCAGTATTAAGGCCTGGAGATGCCATGACTGATAGAAGAGCGCACATCTCGCGAGTTAAATCTCGGAGTAGCTTCTCCTCCATTACTTCCACTTTCAAGTCAGACGTGGCAACGATGCACTGCACGTCTGGAGCTTTAGCTCTGCCTTCGTGCAAAAGACTGGACCAAGAGAAGCTGAGGACTTGATGCAGGTTAATGAGTAAAGGATGGAGAAGCTTCTCCAGCCATATCTCCCACATTTCTGGAGGGCAAGATTTCACCAAATGAGTCAACACTGAATGAATGAGCTGCCTCATATGTCTGAACTCTGCTGACTGTATATTCTCCATGAGTGCCAATGCAACTGAGTCCACATCAAAGCACTTGAAAAATGGATCCCCGATTGTTGTTGCCAGGCCCAACACGTTGTAACTGAAACCAGACAAAGACTCATGTACACAGTTTGCTCAGAACTACATAAACGACGGAGAGCAAAAGTTTAAGTTTTTATAGCAGAAATTGGAATTGCAAAAGCAAATCATGCTTACCCACTGTCCCTGATTCCTTTTAACCAATTCCTTATATCAACCTCATTTGTCTCTATGTCGGCTTGAGAACCATCAGTGAAAGTAAGCGAGGTCTTCGATATTTTTGGGTTACTTTCTCCAAGAAGACTATATTTCTCCGCATCAGTTATTATCATGGCAGCTTTTACCTCTGCTGGTAAAGTTTGAGATATAGATGGAGACCAAAGGGCATGCAGAGCACGAAGAAGCTGCATATCAACATTGAACCAAAGTTCATCAGTTGCATTCAAATGCAGGAAAAATATGGAGATTTCTTCTTTAGAAGAGAGGCACAGTACTTACTTTTAAGAGAGGAGGTAGCATCCACGCTAGATGAGAACTCAATGGATGCTGCATAGAGCTGTTCTCTGAGTTCAAATTGCCCTTTTTGAATCCACTCCTTTTAAGCGCCTTTTCGAAAAACGTGACTGTGTGGAAAATTGACCACATTAATGATGTGTCCAAGCATAAACGAACTACGCCTAATGGTTCAGACAAATAATTGTTTTGCCATTCCAATTGCGTCCACTGCTGGCTTAATGGTTCGAGTAACCAGTTCAAAACCTCCTGTTGTTGTTGAAGCCTACATCGAGTCACGCAACCCAAAAGAATTAGCACATTGTCCATGATTATTTGTCAAAGAAAAGTATAACCATGGGGCAGTTGAAGCAAATATATTACCCAGCGGCAGAAGACATGACAAGGAATGCTTCTCCCAGAAGATTGTGCTCACTGCGAAGCAAACAGCCCTCCCTTTGCATATAACCCATGGTATCTGCAATACCCTACATAACAAATATGGAACAATTTTTCAAACTATAAAGACAATTGCTTAAGGGATGTCGCTTGTAGGAATTTAAATGAGATCATCAAATTCACGTCCTTTCATCATACTTTTGATAGCCTACTTTCTGGGTTTAGAACGTAGGACCAATGGAGAAATAAACAAAAAGGAATGGTACAAGGGAATTAACTCACCTTCATGTGAGGCAAGATGCTTTTATCAGCAGATTTTGCTATTCGTATGAAGGAAGTACATATCTGTAACCTTGCATTCCTTGCACCACTCATTGAGGGATCCTGCCAAATGAAAATCATGATACCATCATTTTACGTCTATTAGCATAGTGGTAACAGAACAAAAATTGGCGTTGAATAAGAACCTTCATAACACAAGGGAGAGATGCTAGAAGCTCAAATAGTTTGTTGATGACACCCCCAACAGCATCAGGATAGTACTTCATGAAAGGGCCCAATGCATCCAGATAGTGGCCTAGGATTTCCACAAGAGCTGGCTCTGACCAGTTTAGGGATAGAAGCCGCTGAAGTAAACCTTCGATTCACATTCAAAGGGTCATATCAGAAAAGATTCAAACTTGCAGGTTCAGTTCACTAGGAACAGAGGTTTCTAAGTTACCTTCAAATATTCTGCATAATGCAAGATGGAGTTCAGTACTGCCCCCAGCAAATTCATTTGATCCATCAAATACAGCAGTAACTATATTTTCTAGAGAGACTTGGAAGCTCTCCATCATAGCTAGGTCCTGAAAATGGAGATCAAGTTTAAGCCTTTAGTGACAGTATACAGAAAATCCACCCATTATGGATCCAAAAAGCAGATTTTACAAAAAGAACACAAAGATCATTGTCACACCTGAAGAGGAACCGGAGAAGTAATGATTGCAAAAACTCTGTCAGATACTTTACTACTAGCTAATATGGGCTTCAAGGATGCAATAAGCTTCATGAGCTCTGACTGCATTGTACAAGCAAGAAGAGAATACAAGGGTGAATCTCAGAGAAAAAAAAATACAAAAATGGAACAATAGTTATTAAGAATACAAGAAGACTTACTAGCTTAGAACGATACTGGCTAAAGTCTCCCTTCCCTTCGAAATCATCACTCCACAACTCCAGTGTAACTGGAGCAAAAGAAGCCCCAGGAAATATTTTCTCTCTTCTAATCATACGCTGGAAAGATACATCTAGGATTGAACCACAGATATCATCAGTAACAAGACTCAAAATCATTTTTTTATCATTGTCAAGCTGAGCAGAACCAGACCCATCGCCTGATGGGGCTGATGTAACTTTTGGCTTCATCACTAAATCCCTCATTAGTGCCTAAAACCAAAGGAAAAAGTCAGCAAGACTGAATACAATGTATGCCAAGAACTAAAGATATCGTGCAAATGACTTGCAAAATGTTCGACGTACCAACCAAAAGAGCAGGGCGTGATAATGGAGACCGAGTTTATAATGTTGGAAAAATCCGAGCATCTAAAATAAATGGAGTTATTATCAGCTATCCTCAAATTATTAATATTTTGACTAAGAAAATTGGACAGCCATGTGGTACATTTAAGATAAGTTACCTGTTGTAAGTAAATAGATAGTATAGTGCTGTTTCCGGTAATGCATTGCAGATTAGTAGAACCCAAAGACACAATGCTTTCACATATGTATTCAGCAAACTCGAATTCATCCTCATCCACAGTACTGGCGGTTGAGGTAGACTTGTACAAAAATTCTCTAGATACATTCATAAGAATCTGGAAGATGCTAATAATTGCAGAATCATATTCTGAAGCAGAAGTATCCGAAGGCCTTTTCCTGAAAGTCCAGATAATATTAAGGAGCACATTACAAAATCAAAAGTCTCATTTGGTAGGCATTCAGAAACTAGATGGTCTTTACCTTGAAGAGACAAGTTTGAAAAATTCACATGCATGAAGACGGAAATCTGCAGCTGAAAGCAAGTACCCGCACCTAGAAAGACATAAGGAAACCCACAGGAATGCAGAAAGTGAAATATATATATATATATATATATATATATATATGAAAGCAAAAAATGATGAAAAATTCTGACTGTGACTTTTTTTGCAACATCATACCCATTGATTATACCGAATTTAGCTAGATCAGCCAAAGGAGCCCACTCGGCATATGCATTAATAGCATTCAAAGCAGCTGTCGCAGTTGAAGCATGCTGTTTGGCTACATCCATCTGCTGCCTACTCACTTCACTCAATGTAGCTCCAAAATGCCGTTCTAGTAGCTGCATTCAATGTTTACAGCATTACAATTATGCTAAACAAAGAGCACAGAGGAAAACTTGTCAGAGGTAAGTTCAGAGGTATACAGTATATAACAATGGCAAAATTTCTGGTAAAGACTCTGTAAGCCCCCTCAATAATAGGCGCCGACGATCACCTGACAATACATTTAGAAACACAAAATAAATTTAAGCAAGCAAGCAAACGATATATACCTTTATCACTCTTCAGGATGCATAAAAGAACTATTGATCGTTATCCCTCTAATTTTGAAGAATTTATAGTAAACCCATAATTTATTTTGCCTCATTTTTCTGAAGAACCCAACCACAAATTATAATCCCCTGATGAAATCAGCATATGAGCTACAGGATTTCCAGTGTGAAAAAGAAGAGTTCCCACAAAGCGAACAGAAAAGTAACACGGAAAATTTGGCCAGCAAGATAATTCCTTCCTACCTTCCAAATCTTCGTTGTGAACTGTAATGTCTTCAGGAAGCCACCTCAACATCATTGAAACCAACTCAGCCTAATCCGAGAAGGGAAAATCCAAGATTATCATATGCAGGCTTCAGCGTGAACCATAACAGGAAACTGTAGCCCCACGGGGAGCTAAAAATTGCCGAGTTGAACTCACCTGCACAGGACCTTGGTTGGATATGGAAATCAAAGAAGGCAGCAGTTCTTGCCATAGTTCTATACCTTCTCTTCTTACAATCTGCAAATAAAGACGAATAGTAACTAAACCAAATAAGAGACAACTATGCTAAGTCTACAGAGTCACAGTTAGGGATAACATTATAAGAACCTCAGCAACTAGTGCAGCCTTTTGACTCTTCAATGGCCATTCTTCACAAGGATTTGTGATATCAGACATCAATTCAACAGCTACATTCGCAAAGTTCCTGCGCTCCGTCAAGCTGAGTTCCTCCCACCGCAACCGAACTAAATGCTGTATAAATGTAGACAAACAACAACTTAGCATAATTTCAGTCAATTAACATTTTTCAAAGACCCTTGACATGAGAAAAAGTGTGATTCCAATCAGACTACAAATACATACATATATATATATATATAAATAGCACCTAGAAGCCCTCTGGAAGCAACATTACAAAAGCACAGACCTGCAGCATCTTGAAAGCATGCAGCCGAATTTCGGAAGACCAATCCTTTTTAACAAGTAGCAATGACGTGGTTGCCAGCACTCGTACATCTCCTGTTTTAATCTGCAAAGATGCAAGACTGGATCAGCTAGCCACAACGTAGACACTAAACACAAAGCAAGGTCTTAACATCCAAAACCCGTACTTAACCAAACAGTACTCTGTGGCTACTAAGCCCCAAAATGACAAAAGATAAATATTCAAACTTGACCAAAGTTCTCATTACAATGAACCAATCCCAACAACCCCACAGTTTTCAGCTCCTAAGCGAAAAAGAGCCCCGAAAGATCACTACAAGTAGCCACCACCAGCAGACCAGTCAAACACAATGGGTTTGTAAACCCGATAGAGAAGAGCAGCAATCAATCAACATTCCAACCACAAAACAACTAACAAAAGTTCAAGCATGAGATGTCTTGATAGCATATCACTGCAGCAATCAACCCTTCACAAAACCAGGGAACCCCAAATTCCAGAATTTGTAACTTCCCTCCGCACTCTATGCCATTGTTTCAGCAAAGAAATGTACCAACCCATTATACCCTTTTGCTAAATCCCTCAAGATTTTAATTAGAAAACAAGAAAACCCTCCACTTGGCCCGACAAACCCAGAAAGTTAATAATCATCAAACAAAAGCGGAATTGAGAGAGTATGAAAAGAGCAGCGAAGGGGAAAGTGGGTTGTTGAGAGACTACAGAATCAAGGTAAGAAACAGCAGCTTTGCGATCATCGGGAGTGGAGTTCCAGTTGAGAGCTGCAACGATGGCTCGAGCCACATTGTTTGCTACACCCGAACTACTATTAGCCTCCATTGAAGCACACAAAGAAAGAAGAGGGTTTCGCAGATAGACAGAGAGAGATTGTTACTTTAGCTCAAGCCACAAAGAAAGAAAGGGAAGAAGAAAAGGGGGAAATTGCTGAAGGAAAAGGAAGACGAAGAAAATAGTATTGAGGGGAGGAGTTAATACAAATGGCGTCTGGTTTTGGTTTTCAGTTGAGTATCTGTAAAGAAGGAACGTGGCTGAGAAACGCCTGAAAATGAGAAGAAAGAAATGTTCCACTGTCGTCCGCTGCCTTGGGCTTTGCCTTGCCTGCCTTCTATCAGCTTCCCCTCCCCTAGCAAGAAGAGGGGAAAAGAAAAAGGAATTTAAATTTTATGTTTTTTATTGAGAGAATTGAAGTAAGGAGAGGACTTTATCTTTTTTGTGATTCTCTCTTTTTTATCTTAAAAAAATCTCTCTTCTCTATTTTCCAACAATTTTGTATCATAATTTGATAGTATTTCTAAATCCTCTTATTTGTTAAACTTGATATGTAGCTCGGCTTTAAATTCAATCGTGACTTTTTTTTAAAATAAATTCAATCGTGATTGAATAGGTTATTATGGAATAAGATGACAAAAATAATCATACTCATGAATAACCATCCAAATTAGACTTAATTGGACGTGTAAATTTTCAATCCGAAAATTTTTAATGGGTATTGGTACTCCCATGATTATATACATGCATATGTACTCTGTTTAAAAATGATCATTATTCATCCTCAATATATTTGATATTTATCGTACATGTATAATATTTTGGATAATGGCTATTTATTAGCCAAACTTTTTTTAAATTCTTTTATATTATCAAAACCTATTAAAAACTATTAATTAGCCAAATCTTTTGTAATGCATCAAAATATTAGACATTTTTACGTTATTGTCGCTAATTTTGTAACTCTTTTCTTAGTTAAAATACTAAAATTTTGGAATGTTGACCTTCATGTGTCTCTTCTAAATTAGTATCATGTTGCCAAATCAATATTACTAACAAAATTGCTAAATGAAAGTTAACATTTGGCTAATTCTTAGTATTTCGATAGGTTTGGCTAATAAAAAAGAATCTGAAAAATATTTGGCTAATAAATAGTCATTACCCTAATATTTTAATGAAATTATATTATTTTTAATTCATTTTCCTCATTTTATTAATTTATTATTTTAATTTTCCAATGATATATGTGCAATCCTTAACATGTTTGTTGAAGTTATAACGAAAATTATTATTACCCGAACTCAATCAAGTATGAGTATGGTTTTAAAATTCTACTCGATTTTTGATGCGTATGGGTAAAACTCAAACTATTTTTGGTAGGGTAATGGATTTGCATTATCCAGCCTAGCTCCGACCCGTTGCCATCCACACTAATCGTGTTGGATACTATTAAACAATAGTGTAATATATATGGTGACTTCTGCGGCACACTGGTAAAAATGATTGTTTATTATACACTCAATACTAAAATTAGCTCTAGGACATCAAATTTTAAATTTTAATTGAAATTGTTAGTCTATGACTGTATAACACAAGACCGCAACTAATTAATGTATTATGCTAAGCACTAGGCCTTCAATTATAAACCCTAACCCTAAATTATATATTGTAAACCCTATCCCTAATCACAAAACTCCTAAACTCTCCAAATCGATATAAATCTTTAATGATATTTTGTGAAAATTTATGTGCTTTCTTGTCCTTTATATCACAAATAACAAATGAAATCGATTTGACGTGAATCGCATGTCCAAAACAACGATTATTATTCCGGGTGCAAAACACACGTCCAATCAAATTAGTGCTTCGGAGATGACTATATATATACTAATTATCAGTCGATTTTGAGCCAACTTTATGCAAATCTTGATACAAGCTGGATCCAGGGCTCGAGCTGATTAAGTGAGAGGAAAAGTGCGGTGACTAACTAATGATAAAGTGAAATGGAGCAATTAGCAAATACAATCATGAGCTAAGGATACAAAAGGGAGTACTTGTAATTTATTGATATCTTTTCACTAATCTCAACATATAAATTTGGTACCAAATCAGAGAATTATGACCCTAGAAAAAATTATCAAATTATACACAATAATGGAAGTTTCTCATAATCTTAAACACATGAAAAAAAAAAGCAAAAAAGAAAAAAAAAACAACCCCAATTTGCAAACACAATCTCAAGTAGTAGGCAAGTAACCCTAAAAAAGAACCCCACCCCCTTAGAATTTGCAAAAAGAAGAAAACAAGTATACTAATTTGACTTTTCCAGAATAATAAACTTTCAACCAACCCCAATTTTTGCTTGCCTTGCAAGTAACTGTGAAGAAAGCCAAAGCTAACAAAAAGGGACTCTTCCATTCCATGTACGCCGATCAAATTGCCTATGCACGCCTATGCACCATTCAATTAGCTTGATATTCAAACCACGCTCCTCTTTGCTTTTGACCTAGTATCTCCATTCATGTCTCTCCGGTGACTTGTTCCGAACTTTGAAAATTCTCGTCCATCCCCATGCTTCTTATGCCTATGACTGCCTGTGCCAGTAGACTCTCCCAATGGTCCTGACCAGGTTTGAACTGGTTCCTTTGAGTAATTGAATGTTGTGGTGCTGAAGGGGATGTCGGGAGGGACGACCGATGGGTCGATGTGATGGGATGCTCCCAAAGGATAGCCGACCGCACCATCCTGGTGAGGGGGAGGGAACTTCTCGCTCTTGCTCTTTGCATTCGCATGAGTTATTAGACGCCTCCTCTGGACAACATACACACATGACCAATTGTCAGAAGAAGCTTGGCTTATAGACCAGTTGGTTCAACCGCAAAGAAACATCTACCATAGTTGTTTTTCAGCAAGCAAAAGAGGAAAATCGTTGCTTGTTCTTTGAGTGACAACATAGAACTTACGTCAATATTGGATTGAAGTTCGGCATTGGCTTCTGGAGCAGGCACTCCTCCCCTGGCAGCCCTATCACGAATCCGTGGCTTCCTTGTGGAGTCACCTTGGGCCTTAGCAGCAGCTCGTAATCTACACATTTCATTAGAACAAGTTCATAGCACATTAATAAAACTCGGAAGGCACAGAACTAGAAGTGCCCACAAGAGGAAAGTAGAGGTCTAGAAAGAGGGACCTTCGAGCTTCATCATCACGTCGCTTTGCATCAATCTCCTTACTCGGGGGATACTTGGGGAGACTGGAAGGTTCGCAAGCATAAGGTTCGGTCATAAAGAACTGCACAAGGGGGGAAAGTGCTACAGTTAAACACTGAAGCTTAAAAATGTAATATGGCAGAAGTGCAATGAACTTACTTCACTTTTTAAGGCAGCTGTGGCTGTCTGGCGTTCTGCTGGGTCTATGGCGAGGAGGGTTTCAATAAGGGGGAAAGAAGACGGCGGGAAATCTTTAAACGTCTCACGTATAGATCTTCTGTAAGGCTCGCGGGGTTTAAATAAGGTTGCATTCGGCAGCTTTGACTTTTTCCAGTATTCATCTGAAGGCGAGCCACACAGCTTGTATATCTTATGTAGCTGCTCTACCTGAACTCATTGATGGAAGTAAAAGTACATCAGAATGAAAAATCTGAAATATAAGACTCAAATCCCATACAAGATCAACAAGCATTGAAAATTTCAGTGTCTGAAAAATGTAAGTATCATAGCCACAAGCATGAAGAAAACGCATTAACTTCCTTTAATCAACCAAAGGATTAAGGAGTTGTTTGGACTGACAATTACAAATGATACATTCTGAAAACGGTAAGATTTCAGCCAACACAAGCATTTCAAATGATATATTCTGAAATGCGTGTTTTCCCATCACAATTCCATAATGGGTACTCTTGCAATCAACTTATCTATACCACCCAATTATTTCAAATCCATGCATCCTCAAAATACAAACATTCTGACAACACAATTTCCAAACGCCCCCTAAGTTCAACTGTCTTCATGCAAACTTCACCATTGTTTTGCTTTCTAGTCTTAAGGGAACAAATGGAGTACTAGACTACAGCACAGACTACAAATGATTTCACAAGACATTACCTCAGTACGACCCGGCATAATGGGTTTTCCAGCCAAAAGCTCAGCTAATATACAACCTGCACTCCAGAGGTCGACACCCACACCATAATCAGTAGCCCCAAGGAGAAGCTCAGGAGGCCGATACCATAGTGTGACCACTCTGCTTGTCATAGGATGCTTACGGTTGGGATCAAAGAAGCTCGCCAATCCAAAATCAGCAATCCGAAGCACTCCTTCATTATCTATCAAAAGATTTGATCCTTTGATATCCCGATGAAGCACCCCACGTTTATGACAGTGCTCAAGCCCAGATAATAGTTGGTGCATGTAGCATTTAACCTGAAATACATCAAAGAAGGTCATGCTTTAGACATCTTATAATGAAAAAATCACACTTTATGGATATTTGATGTTTGCATTATCAGAGCAGAGTTAAGGGTAAACCTGTGGTTCAGTGAACTTCACATCCGGGCTTGCTGCTAGTCCAGCTAAATCATGATCCATATACTCAAAGACCAGGTAGAGACTACATGACATTCTCGAAGTAACCAAACCTTCCAATTTCACCACGTTCGTGTGATCCAGCCTTCGAAGAATCAGAATCTCACGAGCCATGAATTTCACGCTCTCGGGTTCCAAATTATCAAAACGAACCTTTTTTAGGGCGACGACTTTCCCAGTCAATAGGTCTCTAGCTTTATACACATTGCTATATGTTCCTGAACCAATCTGCCATCAAACGATGGAGGAAACGGTCAAATAAGAGCAGCTGCCACGAAAGTGATAAATTGCAATAGATAAAACTTATTACTCTATATCAAGAACTTTATCTTCTGAGATCAGCAAGGGATGTTTTCCCCCTTTGCTTGAAGTTAAGACTTGAAAATATTCAAATCAAAAGCTACAATACGACATGTCTAATCTAATCTGTGAACTCAGTAGAAAGAGTTCATAATTGCCACCACAATTCAGACAACACCAACCATAGTAATGGAAAAGTCAAAATTCAAGACATACCTTATCGATCTTCTCAAAAGTATCAGCACGCCGCGGTATCCAACCATTGAGCGCCTCTCCACACACTGCTGACAACCAAGGCGGCCAACCAGCAGCCACCTGCTCGCCGTGCAAATGCTTAGGCGGGTTACTCAACCTAGGATTCGGTTTTGACCTCCTTCTGCTCTCCCCTTTGGGCTTCTTATTATCGCCACCACCAACTTTATTATCTTCCTTCTGGCTCTCCTCATTTTGAGATGTCTCAATGGTGACATTACTTTCGGTCTTTGCCACCGAGACATTACTATTTTCTTCCAAGTTTCTGCTAGATTGAGCACTCAAATTGTTCTTAGCAGCAGCCTCTTTGGACTCTGACACTACGCTAGATGAAACCTCTCTCCCAAGAACACACCCCATCTCTCCAAGAAACTCTATGCCGCATTTCGAAACGACATGTTTGAGGGTTTCTCCATTATTAGCAACTGCCAAAAATCAAGAAATCAAACTCTTGAGGAAACTGAAATTATCTTTCCAAACAGAATAAGAACAATAACAGATTATGCAGTTCAATCTTAACCCAAATGAGATACAACAAGAGATATAAATCTACCAAGAGAAACAAATATCAAGATGGGAACCAAACTCATTAAAACCCACGAGCTCACTTCTAGTTGCCCATCAGCATATGTAAACTAAACAAAGACTCGATCCTTTCCCCAGATTCAGATCAACCTATTGACAAAAAGCCAAGTAGAAGCAAAAATCCATATCTGATCAACACAAGCAAAGCAGCGAATCCACAATTCCGAAGGTGGGAACTTCCATACACATTCAAACAAACCAAAAGAGATACGAAAAAAGTCAAAAGTGATCCAGCAAAGAAGTAAGAGCTATACAAACAAACCTAACTAGCAACAAGGAAATAAAAAAAGAATGGCTTGAACTTTGAAGGCAAGATCGATTTGATGATATCAGAGAAACGATAAGGGAAAGCAACAGAGACAGGTCTAGAGAGAGAGAGATGGATAGATAGAGAAAGACAGAGAGAGAATGAAAGTGAGAGCTAGCTAAAGAAAGTGATGGCTCAATTAGCGACACAGAGAGAAAGAGAGAAAGATCCTTACTTTGATCGAATCTGAGTGGTAAGCTAAGAGACACAGCAGAAGGAGGAGAAGAAGAACTTGGGCAGGGTTGTGTTAAGAAGAACTTGATCGAATCTGGGTGTCTTTTTACTTTTTTCCCCCCTTTCTTTCTTGTATATGGGGATTGTGTTAAGTTTTGGCAGCAGTTGGTGGGTAGTACTATTTTGTGCAGAAGTTGGTTTGGTTGAGACAGGAAATTTTGTTGGGAAGGGTAGGGAAGGGAAGGCCAGGGAGGGATGAAGGAGAAGAAAGGAAAGGGGCAAAAAAACAGCAGGCACAGAGGCAGGCAGATCGACTCTGTTGCTCTTTTTGGCCTCTGGAGGTGTTCGTTTTTCTTTTTCCTTCCTATGGTGTGTTCCTTCATTCAAAGTCAACCCCACCAAAGACTAATAAGTAATCTCTTCTTCTCTTTACTTCTTTTTCGTTGTAAACTTTCTATATTTCCGTATTATTAATCGTTCCTTCTCATACGAGCATTTCATTTCCATTTATAAATAATCCATGGCTAAATTACATATATATATCCAGTTTGATTTATCTAAATATTTCACCATGTCACTCAGAAAAAAAATCATTAGTCATGCACTTTAATCATCGTCTTTCACTTGTTTCATTCATTATATGTAGTAGTCAACTATGAAATTTTATCATTAAATAAATGGCGTGAGCATGTCACAGGCAACGGAGAGGGAATTAATTGGCATGTCACTGTGGCCGAGATGGCTACAAATGAAGGTGAGTGAAAGTGGCAGGAGTTCGCTCTACATCTAACTCAGAACTTGGTTGCTTTGGTTGCAGGTACGGACCCTCCACTGTCGGGATCGGGAGAAGATATTACAATTTGGGGTATGGAACCAGACGGAAAGTTCAAGTTGCGATCAGCATACTCAGCGGCAGTGGAATGGCTGAGCGACGGGGAGTGTGAGACGGAGGAGGCAAACGAACAACCTCACTGGAAACGACTTTGGAAATGGATGGGGCCCCAACCGCATTAAACATTTTATGTGGTTGGTTTTTCACGACAGGTTGATGATGAATGCGCAGCGCAAGAAGAGGAAACTAACGATGGACGATACATTACTGACCTGCAGAAATGGACCGGAAACCACCGAACACATATTGCGCCAGTGCCCAAGCTCCCTACAGGTATGGCATAGGCTGGGTTAGGGGCGGAGCCAGGATATCGAGATTGGAGGGCCAAAAATAATTTAAAAAAAAATATAATCTTTATAATTATTTTAGAAGTACACAACGTTCTTTGATATAATTGAATGTAATAAAACGAGGTGGCTTTTCCTTATACTATTTTGCAATGTTGTCAAAAGCGAACCGGAGTATGACCCGATAACGTGAACGGCTCGGTCTAGTGGTCCAACCGACATTAAATATTTTAAAACCCGTTAGAAAACCGGTATCTAATAAACAATCAGTATAATAGTGGACACTTCTTAATCATGGTAAGCCATGACTAAATTAGTAAATTACACTCTAACTCTTAACAATTCCAAAACATGAGTACCAAAAGGATGAGACGGCCAGATCAGGGTAGTGCTCGATTCAAGCCTCTGGCGATGGCTATCAAAGGAGCAGATACGGGAAGAAGGGACGGGGACAGGCGAGCGGGGAGCCGGAAACGGGGAGCGGCTACAAGGACTGGGGATGGCGACGACGGAGCAGAGGAGTTGCTACGGGAAGATGGGACGGGGATGGAGACTGGCGATGGCGAACTAGGAGCTGCTACGCTGACTGGGGATGGCGACGATGACGACAGGAAGTGTTGACGGCGGCAAAGTTTGGCACCGCTCTTCTCCCTCTGTTCACGAAGAGTCAAAGATGAAGACTGAATTAGAGTTAGCGTTTCTTTCCTAGCCCCACGATTTTGCCTTTCGTATTCAATTTTTATTATTAAATAGAACGACCATAAGGGGGAAAACCGAGCGAACGGTTCGAGCGGTAAACCGCCTCAGCCGCTCGTTGGCCGCTCCATAAAACCGTAACGGCTAAATGACTGCCTCGAGTCGGATTTGCGACCGGATGTCGGTTTTATCGGTCCGGCCGGCTCGGTCCGGTCTTAATAGCACTACTATTTTGACAATAATGGGGATATGAGAAGATTTCGGTTTGGTTTAGCGAATGGCAACGGAATTGGGCTTGTAATTAAATAGTTGGCTTTTTATAATAAATAGGTGGCTTTTTATCGTTCTCTAAGAAATTGTCAAGTTAAGTTATGAAAGAGACTAACCTGAGCTTCCTGTTTAATTTAGATGGTAAGAAAGCACTGACCCATGTTAAATTGGTTGGGGGTTGACCGAGGTTCGAGAAATGGTTTCAGCTTCTTTAGAGCAGCACAAGATCCTGATAGTATCTTGACCAAAGCAATTTTTTTTGTCATGCCTGATGTTGATACAAGTAGTTTACTTAGAGGAGAGCCCCAACAAGTTAGCTCTTGGAGTTTCGATACAAAAATGGGTAAGGCAGAAACGGTTTATACAAAAGACCATGCTATGATCGTATAGAACACGTTGGTAGAAATAGCCTACAATTTTATTTTATTGACGAAGCCACTGAGGAGAAGAGAGGAATCGTCATTGGTACTCTAGATTTTACAAGGCTATTATACAGATCGTTTCTTTCATTTCATATAAATTCGTATTATGACTAAAGTGATATTAAATCAAGCCATAAATTGGAGCAATGGAATGGTCGTTTGGATAGATGTGTACTAATGCAAAATGTGATGTAGCTGCCACGAAGGAGTAAGAAAGGACCAATCAACATGTTTGTTGTTGAGAAGGATAAAAATCGTGATAATGGAGAGGTTACATGACAATTGACTTATACATGTTAGAGAGATAGAAAGTGCAGAGTTGTAAGTCATTTGTGTGTTTAGAGTAGCATAGTTATTTGGTAGAATTTCACAATGGTAGAGGTATTGACAAAAGTTGTTATCTGTTGGTGTTACTAGGCATATGTTGCTTACTTTTTCTTTTGTTTGTATATGAGATTCTACAGCAGATTGCATGTTTTGCATTTTTTTTCTGTCACTTTAATTAACAATCTATTTATAAAAAAAAAAACTGGCCTATACATTTCATCGAGTTGATTTGGACATTGTTGGTTTTGGTTTTCTCAGCGAGGGATTCATCACATTTGGTGTCATTGTGGTTTTTGGTCTGAGGGCAATCCATATTGAGTTTTCTTTATGAAATCCCTTGATGGCTTCCATTTTCACCATCGGGAATTGGAGCCAGGTAAACATTCTTTTGATATTTTCATATTCACTCTAAAGGCATTAGGGTTCTTGGCAATAGTGTTGCTAGATTTAGGGCTAATGACTTCATTTGGATTGTACATTATAGTCTTTATGTTTTAATGTTTCTTTTGTAATGCAATGTTATAATAACTTTCCATAAGATTATTATGGTGTTGTTGACCTACGTCTGTCCATCGTCGCAGACTTACTAACGGGTAATATAGTCATAATCAGAGCACCAATTTCTGAGACTACGTCCGGCTAAGCGGCCGGGTAACCAGCTAGTAGTTAACAGGCTTAGATGGACTAAAATACTCCTACTGTAAATTAAGGGGAGGGGGGCATGATTTTTTTTATGATGAAAAGAGAGTTGAAGTCCAGCCTCATGTCATGTATTATAGGGCCAGAGTACATTCGGCCCAAGTATGTTCTCTTGTTAGGGGCACTCCGCACTCATGATTTTCTGACTATGCTTTTTCATCGGTTTCATGTGCAGATGCATCTTACTTGTGCCATTATCTTTATCTTTCATCTAAATTTTTTGGAAACACTAATACCCCGTGGTAACGGTACTATAATCATTACAAGGTCAATCTACTCTAAATCTAGCAATTTAAGCATCAAACATATTATGAAATAATTATATTAAACACACAAATTCAGTATGTTTTTAGCGATTATCATCAAGTCAATATAGTTTAACATGATATGATAACGATAATTTAATAATTTTATCAATCCTTATCATGAATGGTAATGTCTGGCCTGTTTGATATTTCACGAGCTTTCACAACATATATGATATATTCAATAAATCGACAAACAATAAGTAGGATAGCGATTTTGACTTGAACTGTTTTGTGCGAGGTGAGGTGGACACAGTTCATCCTTATTCTCAATTTGGTTTGCCTAAATTATTTGTAATTATTCAATTTACTTATGATTTTACTTTTATTACATCATACAATAACTAGATAAATATGTTTTTTTAATAATTTAGTTTCACTTATCATATAGTCTATTTTATACATCTATACAATTAATAAATTATAAATAGGGTTTCCTTATTTTATAGGAAAGAGGCAAAATCATTGTACAACCTAACCTTGTTGTTCACTAGCCAAAACCTAACTAAAAAAATTCACATGTTAGTTAATGTGAGAGGTTGTTGGAGGCCCCAGCTATGTTATGGCAAGACAAGACATGTTTGGTCTTCAACTACTATGCACAATGCTTGAAATTATTTATTCTTCTGAATCTTAATTAGCTTTTGATAATAAAGCTCCATTGTCACGCATAGATAAATAAATATCCCTTAAACCATGGGATGTCGAACCACCAAAAGGCTCGGGGTAGTTACTGAAATCATCACTGAACTATGTGAATGTAACAAAATGGTCACTCAACTTACATAACAAAATTGTCACTTAATTTTGTCAATACGTAATAAAATGATCACTCTCCCCTACTTCGTCACTATTTTTCCGTCAATTATGTATAGTAAGAATGTGAACTCTATGTCATCCAACCTATCTTGTTGGCACCTAGCTTGACCCACCCTTAACCATTATTAATGGCCCATCTGAAACCAAGCGATTAAACTTTGACCTGCAAAACTCCGGTAGTATAATCGTATCATTACACGAGACCTAAGCCCTGCCCACCCAGTAAACGAGATCCCTCCCCCTTTTCATTTTTACATTCTCGCCGGAAACTTCTGCTGCTGCGGAGAGCCTCCTCCTCAATTTTACTTCGCCGGCATTTCGACGACCACCGCAGAATCTCACATCTTGAATTGGGACGAGGGAGATGTGGATCGGGTTTTGTTAACAAGGGAGGGGAGGTTCGTAACATGTCGTATCTAGCTGGCATACTGAGAAAACACAATTGACGGAAAAGCTAGTGACCATTTTGTCACATTCGAAGTTCAGTGAGACGATTTAAGCAATTAACCCCAACTTTTGACCAACCCTTCATTTCTCGGTGTGCAATCAAACCCTCGACAAATATAGTTGAGGCGTTGGAAGAACAGTACAAACCAGAATTAAACCAAGACTGCGAGACGTTTGCATCCTGAAGCAAGAAAATGGAGATTTTCTTAACACAATCTGAGCATTTTTCTAGACGCTAACATCGTTTTACTAATAAGTTATAACAAACAGTCCAGCGAAATCTAGACACAAAAGCAGAACAAACGATGCAATAAAACACACGGAAGTTCCCAAATGTAGACCTCTTGCCTCACAAGACTCCCATAACTTCCATTCCCGCTTTACCCAAAATTGTTAAAATCACCAGAGCAAGAAGTTCCATGTCCAGAAAGCTCAAGGCTTTACCATCAAGGGTCTGCACATTCTCACTCTTCGCTCTTCTTCTTTTTCTTCTTCTTATCCTTCTTGCTAGTAGGTGTCTCTGTAGCTTCCTCTGGCTCTGAAGAACGCTTCCTCTTCTTCTTCTCACCATCTTGAACGTCATTCTGCTCAGCTTCAGCTTCTTTCTTCTTCTTCTTCTTTTCTTTCTTTTCGCCAGTAGCATCTCCATTTGTAATTTCAGCAACTTCCACATCTTTGCTCTTTTTCTTCTTCTTCTTGTCTTTCTTCTCTTCAGTAGCGGGAGCTTCCTCATCTATCTTCCTCTTCTTTTCAACAGTCTCCTCTCCAACCGATTTCGGTGTTTGGTCAAGAACAGCATCAGCAGAAGCGTTGTACGTCTGCCAAAAAGAGCAATTAGTTCATTGAGGACACTTGATAAGTAGACTCAAATAGCTCAAGTATATACAGAAACCAAACCTTCGCAGGAGTTATCATTCCAGCTGCTCCCTTCTTTCTATCCTTGTCATAAACCTCAATCTTCGGCTTCCCCTTAACTGAACCTGCAGAGCGCCCTAATTCCTTGCCCTCAAGACTCCTCAATCTTGCTTCCAGCTGCAAAATCAGCTATCAGTACTTCTGAAATTCAAAACGAAGCGACTCGTATGGAAGATGCTTTGAAATGTACCTTAAGACGGTTCTCTAGTCCCATGGAGTTATCCTGACCATCTCCAAGAGCATCACATCGAATAGCAAGAGAAGCTTTAGCGGCAAGTGACCTAGAAATCTTCCCTTTCATCTTAGGTGCCGCTTGACCAACAAGGGATGCATGGTAAATCAACCCATATTTAGGTGTGGCATGCTTTGTCTTCAGAGCTCTGAATAGGGCCTTTTCTGCTCCAAGAATCTGGACTGTGCTCCCTGGCTGCTTGGCAAGATTCATCAAGCTACCTCCATGGGCAATTAGCCTAGCTCCAACAAGCTCTCCGACTAGAGCAGTCAAATTAGGTGCAACAGTGTTCATCCTACTTTTCAGGTAGTCGTACAGTTGGGCCCTGTATTCGGATAGAGACAAGACCTGGTCACAGAGCTGCCTGACATTTGCAAGGTCATGTTCACTCACTTCAGTCCCCATTGATATGTTGGCTGCTTCCTTCACTTCTGCCTCAACCTCCTCAGTTAGTATCTACAAACTCAAAGAATAGTTGTTGTCATGCCATCAACTTGTAACTGAAAAACCAATAACCTAAAATTCGAAACCAGAACCATTTGCATAGTAACCATAACCAGGTAACCATTGACACATCTAACCAATGTCAATTGCAGTAACAGGAATGGAAGTGGTTAGCCAACCCTAGACCCAAAAACCATGTAAACTGCAATTCCAATTCCAGAAATCGTTGGCCTTTTAAGAGAAGCCAGGATATATACCTCAGAGAAATCAAGTTTTGTAGCATTCTCACGGAAACCCATAAACTTCACCACTTTAGAATAGACAATGGTATCTTGAACAATCTTGGCCAGCTCTGGAAAATGCCAACCGTACCATTCCTTGACTCTCATTGCATAAGTATTAAGCTCCTTATCAAGATCGTCAAGCAACCCAATAGCTTGAATAATCATAGTATCAACCTGGAACATTAAGAAGAAAGCAATAGGTCAAATATAGAAACACCTATGCACAGAAATTATGGAAAACAGATGCATCAAAGAAGTGAAGGTACCTTATCAGCGCTAAACTTCAGCTTGTATCTAGACAAGCTATGAGACAAACCAAGGCTCATTGGTGCCAGATCTTGATTCGCCAGACCAGCTATAAGTTCTGTTAACTGACTCCTCACACCTCTCATCAATTCCATGACAGCATTGTTGTGAACACAATCGATTTTCTGAAATTCCAATCAACAATCCAATTCAGAAAAGCTGGTATACAGAAACACACACCATGCTCAAGCGCAACTGGGAGCTTTTATGGTTATCACTTGACATAAAATCATACCAATTTCTCCTTGATTGAATTTCCCAGCTTCGAGTCAGCCACAGCCAAATTCTCGCCTTCACAGTGAGCTTTCAGGAATTTTCGAAGACCTTTCGTGGTCGAGCCATCGATGATTTTGGTCGCTGCCTCTAGAGCATCAGCCGTGTTGTCAAACTTGTCAAAGGCTTTCAGCTTCACCACCTATTTTTTCATAAACCACTTGTCAAAAGCAAACACTAAAGGGAAAAGACAATCACATAATCTATAAATGTAACTAGACAATCTCAAGTCCATGGGGAAAATGGATATCTACCTTTCTTGCAGAGTCCGAGCTCGAGAACTCCTTCCACAAGTCCTGAAACAAAACCCAGAAGATTAAGCTTTATAATAAACAAACAAAAAATTGCTGCCAGTAAGAGCATGTTCCCATCACTTTGTTAGTACACTAAAACGTTTGCTGGTGACTGAAGCTGTACATAAATCTATACCTCAACTTTGGATAGCTTTCCTTCATCTAAAACTTTGAAAAGCGCAAAGCCCGCCGGAGTCTCGAACAACACCAACATCTTCTTTAGCAAAACCTAAATAATCCTGCATATGAACACAAAGACATAATTTTTCACTATGTTTACAACTTGAACATTCACAACCAGCAGCTCAAATGAAGAAGAAGAAAAATAAAACCCGCAGCCCCAAATACGAAAATCAGGAGCCCAGAAAACGTGAACCAGTAATTATTCGCCAAGCAACTCAAAAGCTTAAAAACCTAAATGGGTAAAGGAGAGGACCGACAACAGAGGCCCCGACTTTCTTCAAACGCCACAAAGAAGAGATTACAGAGAAGTAGAAACAGAGTCGTGAACCACTAATGACTACCACATGTTCAACAGGATCTTCATTTTGTAAAGGAACTGAAAAAAAAGGAGGAAGGCTCCATGGGGAAAACCTACCTACGTTCAGCGCCTTGGAAGGAATGGTAGCGCCGTAGCGGAGGAGGCAAACTAGGGCTTTAAGCAGGGTTTTGAGCAGAAGTCTTTTTGCGGTCATATGCTGCTTGTGCATTATATATTAGGCACCAAGAATTTGTGAATTACTAAAAGGTCCTCCAAGTTTAGGTAGGGTTATAAACCAACCAGGATACGAAAGGCCCCCTAATTGGATTAAAGCCCAGAATCTGTTTTGACAGCTTGGGCCACCCTGAAATAGGGGAACAAGATGGCATTCGGAGCTCGTTTGTGAAAGAAGAAGCCCAGCCCAGTCAAGTCAAGTTGGGGGAGGCCGGGAATCGAGTCATTGATGCTAACGAGTAACCACTACGCTGACCCAACAAGGGTAAACTGCCGGGTGGAAATGGGTATGGTCAGTATTCCACTGTTAAATATCAGAATATCGAATATCCAAGAGTATCCGAAATTTAATTCCAATTTCAATCTCAAATTTTTTTTTATATTCCAATCTCAATTCCTAATTATTTGTTCGGTATCGGTATATACCAAATACCAAGTTAAATCCATTGAAAATCACAAATCAAATATATAAACGTAAATACTTCTCCTTTGTCAATCGCGCCAAAAACATTATTAAAATATATAAAAATAATAAATGGTGCCAACACTCTTGTAAAAACAAATGAGAAAAAATTGCAAGTATAATAATAACAAAGTAGAAAAATGTGATGTCTAAAAAGCACATTAACAAACTAAAACAACAAACTGAAATGTGAGACGATGTTTAGTCATAGACATACTAACAAGTAAGAAAATAAGCTTGATATGGATTGTCAAATAGCGAGAGAATAAGCTATGTGTAATTAACTAACCATCCTGGCGGAGTGGCGGTTGAGGGGGTTGGTAGAAGTGAATGAAGGAGCCTAGTAAGGAGTGATAACGCACACTAGCTTATATTTTGGTATAATATCGATCCCAATCCCGTAAACCCTAATACGGAATAGCACTTGAAATGCAATCTGAATCTCAATCCCATGAAATAATATGTGTATTCGGTAATATCATATATTGATAAATTTGGTATGGACGTATGGTATTTAATATATCTCAAATGTTGATACCAAACTTCCAGTCCTACTCACACCCCTTTTTGTGAGTATATACTCACACGGTGAGGATGTAGGTTATGCGGCTGGAGTTAAGATCTAAGGGTTGTGGCTCAGTGGTTCAAGAAAGAGCTCATTTAAGTGAATTTTGGTGGCTTTTTGGCTGATAGTCATGTCGGCCAAGAGAACTAGTATCCAAAATGAAAATACTAGTATCTATCTATGTTTAGGGATTCTCTCTCTCTTCTTTATTTTGAAAACATTGATCTTCCTTCTCTCTATGAATTTTGATCTGATTTGGTCTAGCTCATCTACAGATCATTGGAGTTTGAAGTTACTCTAATAGAGATATGATATGCGGGTTTTGTTCCTTGTGGTGGGCTTTTTCTCTCCGGCGATTGTAATTTTTTTTTTGGATTTCTTGGTTTTTTTTCCTTGCCTTTCTAGGTTTTTTTTGGATTTCTGGGGTTTTTTTTAGATCGTTGCTATTTGATGACATGATACTAGTTCATAAATGGTTTTTTCTGAATACTAGTTCTATGCGGTATCTATAATCTTCTCTATTATCTGGATATCAGTCCGTGAATGTGGAATCCATATGTTTTCATGATGGATATCATCTAGCAAACCTTGAATACTAGTTGTTTTTAATGTAGATATTAGTTTGTAATTGATGTGCTTTAGTTGGTAATTCTTTGAGTCTAGATACTAGTTCTATGATGCCATGATACTAGTTAATGCTATCTGGATACTAGTTTGTGCTCTCAAGTCTCATGTATACTTGAATACTACTTCATCATAGTGTGGTTACTAATTCATGTTTACTAATCGATTTAAAAAATGCTACCAAGTGTACTGACCAATATCAGTTAGCAAACCTTGATTACTAGTTGATTTGATTGTGGATATTAGTTGTAATTGATTGAGTATTAGTTCTGTGAGTTTAGATACTAGTATGTGCTCTATTGATACTAGTTCATTAAAATAAAATTCTACCAAGTGTTCAACAAACACATGGATACTATTTCAACACAGATGGATACTAGATTGGGCGATATAAATATTCGCCTGGAATGCTTTCTCTCTCTCTCTCTCTCATGTGAGAATAATTGGTAAGTGTCATTAAATACTAGCTCATGCATTTAGGATACTGGTTTTTGAATTTTTTTATACTAGTTTTCTCGGCTGGCTTGGTTCTCAGCCAAAAAACCACCAAAATCCACTTAAATAAGCCCTTCCTTAAGCCACTGAACCCCAACCCTTGAATCTCAGCTCGCCCGTATCCGCATGACCTCCATCCTCATCGTGTGAGTATGTACCCACAAAAGAGGGTGTGAGCACCATAGCTAGACTGACGCTGACCAACTTCAACCCTCTCATTCAAATTTAGTCATCATTCCTTTCAAATACCCATTTTTAGTATCTTATGCAAGGATGACATGCATAAATCAATTCTTTGGAAAATCATTTTGAAACTTCTTAATTGACTTTTTTACCCCAATAGTAAAACTTCTTAACTTTAGCTACATTCCTTTTTTCAAATCTATTTTACATAAACAATGGCAGAGCCAATGCATTGTAAGGTGGGTCCCGACTCGAGAGAAAAAATGAACAAAACTAGATACGATAGTTAGGTGTAGATAGGATCGAAACTCTAATCTTATCAATATTAACCAATATTTCTATAATCAAACTACAACATAATGATTTTTATCGTCATTGATATATAATACATTAATCTAAGCTTCTTCATAATAATATTAAAACCTAATAAAACTTCATCATTCAGGTCTAAAATCCTTAATTTTATATATTACTCATCTTTCACCAAATCCTCTTCTTGTTTAAACTTTCTATCTTCTTTTCAACCTAATAATGTGTTCTCTACTAATCAATTCAGATTTTGACCCCCAACTAGATTCTTATACATATAATTTTAAGAAAATCAACAAGTTTTTTAGAACCAAATAGAATTTCAGAATCTTCAAGACCATGGTCATCAAATGAAGCACTTTAGCATTGTCTACTAGTCTGTTTTAAAAGTTTTGAAAGAACATTTGCAATGAAGTACATAAAAACAATCTTCACTTTGATGAACTAATAAATTCATAGATGACTATTTGATAGAAATATATATAATAAGACTGACATTCCAAGTTGTTTAGAATATGGAAATATGTTGTGGAACACTGTAGAATTTCAAGAATTGTCCTACAATATTTTGTTTTAAATTCGGACCCACCTTATATGAAATCCTGGCTACGCTGGTGCACTTAAACTATACGCATGGGCATTACTAATCCTCTTTTTTCACTTTGATTTTTCCAAAAAAATTTTCCAAATTTCAAGATTAAAAAAAAAAGATATTGAGAAAATTTTTATTTGAGTCTTAATGTAACATCCCGAACTTTTCCCGAGAAAGATATTGTCAGCTTTGGGCCTCGACTCTCACGGAGTTCGACTTGGGGTGAAATTCAAGGTGATTTCCCATAAGGTCACCCATACTTGTTGTACTCCACACTGAGCACGTTTAATTAACTTCGGAGTTCTCACAAGAACTCCTCCATGACACCCCAAAACGCATCTTGTTAGTTAAAGTCGGTTTCCTACTTATGAACCATGGATCTCTCTCGTGCTTTGTCGACGTGGGATTTGCATAAGGTGTTACACTTAATGCATTATACATAAACAAGAGAAAACATTTGAATATATATATAAGGGGTCATATGGATGGAACAATTGTGAAATGAGGTAATTTGGAGTAAATGTCTCATTTTTGAAAGTGAGACATTGTATGAGAAATTCGTCCCAAATTATCTCGTTTGGTTTGTGCTTTGAGATGAGGCAATTAGAATGAGGTATTCATGTAAAATACGCATTTGCCCTCAAATTTTACTCTCCTTGTTCATGTTCCTTTTGTACTCTTTGTAATAAAAAAAGGTAAAAAAATATTACAGACCAACAAAGATGCTGACCCAAATCCATGGTCGCTGGTAAGCCAAGCTAGAATCATTCAAACAGAAGAATAGCCAATATATTGTTCTCAATCGAGCAAAAATCAAGATTCTGATAAAGTTTCTTCTTTGAATTTCAAATCTATCGCTCCGTTTCAAATCTCTACTAAAAAATTAAAACAGAGGTTGTGTCTATTTAACTAAATAAAACCCCAGAACAGCGATTCAGGATGCTGCCCCCTTGTCTCGCCACTGCTGCAGACGTTGGAGACTTTCGCCGGCGATAGCCTCTTCCGCAACTCATCTTTTCCCCCGCTGCTGGCTCACCGTCACTGGTTCGTTGCCACCCCGCCACTGGCTCCTTTCACATTGCACTTACGGCATGTACAAATATCCAGATCTGGACCCATAATCAATGGAGGTGGCATCGTAGGCAATGTCCAAATCAAACAGCCGACAACGTCTCCATCGCCGCTGCCATCGGACTTCATTGTTGGCGACAACTTCTCCACCCATTCTCTTCTCCCGGCAAGAATAACCCCGAGAAATTGAAATCAAAACGCAAAAAAAAAAACCATGATCAGAAGTCTTCAATGGTGTGTTATGCCACCTTCTTTCCAATGGCCCCCATTGAAGAACATATCAGAAGATAGAGAGAAGAGATGATGATGGTAGTCAACATGAAAGACAAGAAGTGGATAAAAGGGTGCGGTGGGGTAGAGAAGAAGGATATAATTGGAAGGGGCCACAGAAAAACGAGTCATTTGTGATTTTCTACCCTCACCCCAGGTATTTTAAATTGAACCCTAATGGATCAATTGCAATTACCCCAATCCAAAATGCCTCATTTTGATTTTGTGCTGCCAAATTGCCTCATCACATAGATCCATCCAAACGACCCCTAAGATTTTTTGTCATTAGAATGTGACTTATTTTATGGTCGTTAGAATCTTACCATTTTTGTCATCATTCTACCATAAATCACACATAAACCTTTTCTGGAATAAAGTCGCAAATAAAAAA